ATTTTTTCTTGGATTTTGATTGAAGAGCTCAGAATAAGACAACACAACAAAATAAATACTTCATGTAAATTAAACTTAAAGGAATAGATCTCTCAAAAATTAAAATGTACTCACCCCAGGCCATCCAAAATGTAGAAGAGTTTGTTTCTTCATCAGACAGATTTGGAGAAATTTAGCAACATCACTTGCTCACCAATGAATCCTCTGCAGTGAATGGGTGCCGTCAGAATAAGAGTCCAAACAGCTGATTAAAAACAACACAATAATCCACAAGTAATCCATGACTCTAGTGCATCAGTTAATGGCTTGTGAAAAGTTTTGTGTTTATAAGAAACAAAACCATTGCTTCCAGCTAAAATATGAGTCCTCTGTCTATAATATTGTTTTCTCCAGTGAAAAGGCCATCTTGTCTAAATCAGGAGAGAAATATGCAAAGATCAAGCACCAAGTGAAAACTGTCCAAAACAATTCTAAACAAATTTGTTAGTGGATTTTAATGTGAGAGGACAACAGGGAATGGGCTTTTCCACTGGAGGAAGCGTGTTTATGGATTAAGGATTTTACAATGGTTTGAAGTTAAAAATGTCTTAAAAATTTATTTGTTTCTTACAACCTTTAGAACAATTTAGGAATATGATTCAAATGTTGTGTCTTCAGACAGAGAAAGAAAATAAAATTATGTTTATCCTGAGATGTTTATCCAGTGTGAGATTTATTTTCTCTGAGAAGACAGCATATTTTGTATGGATGCTCAAATTCAATCAACCCATCTCAAGCCTCTGTGCTAGGCCCTGGAAGTCTTTCTTTTTTCTTGCTTATGCAGCAGAGAGAGATGCATGCTGGTAAACTCAGACCCATAATTCTGGGAGCTCAAGTTTTGCCGGAGGCATTCATTCCACATTAATGGTAGTTGCTGGGAGTTGGGCAGGAATGAACATAGATATACAGCTGAAAAATTAAGCTGCTCCAGGGTTGGCTTCCTGTTTAAAGCAGAAATTACATTCCCTGAATGGACAGCTGACGTGGACAAGACAGGGTGGCTATATATGTGCCATCACTGGTGCAATAGCTTCAATGACTGACCTTCAGGTCCTCTGAGAGACTTGAACTGCCTCAGAAGGTTAGACACTCTTCACTGGATGAATATAAAGCTGCTGCAGGCAGACTGCAACTCTGTGCTCATACTGGACACCTGTGGGAAAATACAAGAGCATCGTTTCTCATAAATAAATTGTTTTGTTTGTCTTTTCACTATCATTTTTGTCCATTTTTCTTTTTATCCAGGACATACCGGATTCAAAGTTTTTCTTCTCACACTTATTTTTTTTTCCATTTTATTTTATTCTTCTATGTATACTGTATATATCTTTATTTTTTTTGCAAGTTTAAGAGCTTCTCTTAAAGTTTCTGATGTTATCCACATCTCCCAGTGGTGAATACTGGTTCAGAATCATGGCATGAACTGAATAAGAATGAAAGAATTTTATATCTCGCCTTTTCTAGAGAAACATAGTTTGAAGGAATACATAGATATATATAAAGTAACATTCAATTTCTTTCAGGAATATTTACTTGAAAAATACTGCATTTTGTCAGACCATAGACTTTTAATGTGATCTCCATGTAATACCCAAGTAGCATAATCTAATTTCAACTGTACTGTATGTCTCTTTTGAAATGTACAGGATTCGCTTAATTTAGTGCTGACAGCCATGGTAAATGTTGCATAAAGACACTGAGACACTGTATATATTGATGTCAAAATGGCTTTAAATGCATGCTTTTCCCCTGTAAAGCATATTTAATTTCACATTATGCCACATGTTTGTTCTTAAACATCCTAGAATTTGTCATGTTGACACCTATTTTGCCATTTCATGTTCAAGGCATTGCTTTGAATGTGTCTGGCTTGAAAAATAATTCTGACTCTTTCAAATTTTACATGTTACATATTGTACATGTTGAATGTAATTTTTATAACGTGTATATATATATATATATATATATATAATTGTCTATATCAGAATGAGATTATCTACTAGTTTATCTTTGTTTTTGTACAAGACTAACAACACAAAAACATTTATAGTTAAAAAAATAACCATTCTTTATAAAAGCAGGTCACAAGCTGTTAAATCATTTTTGGAACAGATGGACGGTGAGTTTTTCCTATTAAGTGTCATTTGGTGACCTTAGCCTTCAAAATCCAACTTTTAACCATATATTTAATTACTGTCTGGCCTAAAAATAGACAAATACATGCCACAAGCTACCTGCAAAATTTTTATAATTAACATTGTTATTAGCATATGATTGGCATTATTTTAGAAGTCCCTTATATAAACACATTTTTTTGTGAGGGCAGTACAGTTCCCAAACCTTTGTTCATCAGCATTTGAGATCCTCTGATGACAGATCTGTCACTGCTAAATGTTTATTCCTATGCCAAATATTGAAATTTGATTGCAATTTTCTCCATTCATCAGGTGACTGCTGTGTTAGTTAGTGCCACTTCACCTGGAGTTTTACTCAGCGTGAGTTTTAACCGACTCCAATCTTTTAAATCACTTTAAAACAAACTTCATGACATTCAAATTTATTTTCAAAGTCTGGCATGTTAACGAACACATTATGCCATCTGTTTGACTTTTTGTTTAAAAACATACAGAAGCATGTCTTTGTAGCAACTTGTATATAATAACCTGATTCCAATGCAAGTTATCCAAAGCACTTGCAATCTTATTGCATTTTGGTAAGATTTCAGAGCTATTTTTGCCTTCATTAGTAAATACATTTGTAATATTTTTGGTTTTTACTCAAATACCTCTCATTAGACCATAAGATTAGAAAAGAATTTAATTGATCCCTAAGAGGAAATCAGAATTAGTTCACCCTTTAAGACCAAAAAGAACCATGTTATTGTTAACGAAAGCTAAAAAAAACAAAAAAAAAACTGTTTCTGCTCATTGGAATAAGGTGATAAAGAGGAGATAAAATAAAATGCAAATATTATTGGAAAAACTGCTTAAATTTAAATTAAAGTTGGAAATGTTGCCTTGGCAACTAACTGAAAAATTACTAAAACATAAATAAAAATAAATTAAAGCATAATAGAAAACAAACAAACAATAAAAATGACAAAAGCAAACAAACTCACTAAAAATTAAAACAAAAACTATTAAAATAAATACTATAATAGTATATAAATAATAAAGTTGATTTCACACATATATCTTTAGGAGGTATTGTACAAATCAATGGCTGTCATTCTTCATGGCAAAGTGGTCCAATCAGTGTGTTTCTGAATGCATTCTAAAAATCCTTTCTGCATGTTGTTAAGTCCTTTCAGAAGGGACATTCCCATTGCAAACATAAATCTTCTTTTGATTGAGTGTCCAAACTCCAAACATATTAGATGTTAACCAAGTTTATAATGTTGTAGGACATTGCTTATTTCCTCTATTATAAGACAGGTCTTTTTTACTTGTTTGTTTGGTATGCTGGTAACCCTACAGACATTACATTATTACCATAAAGAAATTGCTGTATCACACTCCTAGAGATTCTGCTTATGTCACTTAAATTAGTAGTGTTAGATCTGGCCCTGCTCTCTGTGTATTTAATAACTCTTTCTATTGGCCTTTCAGAGCAGTCCTCCTCTAAGCTCCAGCACAGTCCTCTGTTGCATACACACTCTTTTATAAGACATTATTGTATGAGGGCAAATCCGTGAATAAAATATGCTATAAAACTGTATACTCCTTCTATGAATAATGTAACAGCAAATTAAATTTCTTTGCATTCTTTCTCTGGTTAGAGCAACACTTTGTCAAACCCTGTACTGTATGTACTATTGCTGTCATGTTTAGCATAAGAGGGCAAGCCACATTATTGTTCCCCTTTTCATCCTATTTTTGGCAGAGTATCTGTGCTGGGGTTCCTACAGGATTTACTGTAAGATATACTGCGCTTTATTTAACCAGGTGACTAAATCCCACGTGATGAACAATGTGGGACTCACTATATAGGAAGAGCTTTTAAATAGCCAATGGTCTTATGCTACTGTACATTACAGCTTTGTTTCTTGCTAGTTGGTAGCTGGTGTATAGAATGCAACAGTACCCGACTGCCCGCCCACTTTTTTTTTTTTTTTTACCCTATAATGTAATTTACAGTGTTCTTTTGGAATGATTTGCTGTTTATATTCCTTTGCAGAATCATAAGTAATAAATAAATAAATAAATCCCCTATGGAGAAAAATAATGTAATTTTTTTACTTTCCGAACCTGACTATTGCGCTCTACTAGGGGGTAGGATTTCTCATAAAAAAACAAAATAAATAAAAAAATTCAGAAGTACACTGTCAATAGACTGTACATCCTCAAATCTATCAAACAGTCATGCCTACTAAACGTCACAAAACTCTGTAAAAAAATAAAATAAATAAATAAATAAAAAGTGATGTTTTTGAGTAACTAATCCCTTAAAACACACTTTTCACTCTTACACTAGTTTGTTTGGTGTAAACACATGCATCTCAGGAGATTTATGTCATTTGTTTTCCATATTTTTGTTCATATTGAATGCTAGGCTAATTTCATGGCTAGCATTTTATGTGTCCTAAATACAAACAGTTTAATACTTTTTAGCTTAATTTGACAGAATTGCAATGTGATTTAGTAAAAAAAAAAAAAAAAAAAAAAAAAACGACTGGAAATCTTCTACCAAGCGTTATTTACCTTGATTTTGAGGCTTTATTCTTCACACATCAAGTCTCTTCATCTCAAACATGCTCTTCAGTGGCACTGTTGTCTCTTTGGTAAGAAAGAAAACGTTTAAATTGTTTTGGTTTTTAACCCCTAGGACATCAAAATGAAAACTATGATCGGATTCAACCCCATTTGTTTTCTCAAAATATTACCAAATATTATTTGCTGAACTATTGGTGACTACACGGTCCCTTTAAATATTCATTAGCATAACACCAACACGGATATGAGTAGATGCATGACACAGCACGTGACCAGGATGTTCTGATAATATACTCTGAGGGAAATGTAGGATATATCCATTAAGTTTTGTAACATGATTCAAAGAGTATTTGTCATCATTTGTTTGTTTCCTCTAAATCAAGCTGCGCTGCCTTTGGTGATCAACACTTGGAATTTTGAGAATGCAGCTAACGCAGGTGACAGATTAACCATGACTTTACCGTGTATGAGCTCTGAGGAATGACTAGACTTTAAACTTGTGTGGTTTCTCTCTGTAGCCTGGAGCGCGCTGCAGAAGGGCGGCTCGGTTCTGGATGCGGTGGAGCGGGGCTGCTCGCAGTGTGAGCTCGAGCAGTGTGATGGCAGCGTGGGGTTCGGCGGGAGTCCGGATGAGCGCGGAGAGACGACCCTGGACGCGATGATCATGAATGGGTAGGCATATGTATCATCATCATCAGTATAATTATCCAGTCGTTCACCCAATAATATTAATCACTATACATTAGGTCAAACGTCCAGTTGTACTATAATATATTGCATTACAAAAGAATGTAATTCGGCATAGATTAACACAATTTAAATAAAAATAAATGTTTAACATAAAACACACACACACATTATTTATTAACTTATTTTATTTCAGATAGTTTCCAAGGCAACATTTCTCATTTAGCCTAATTTAACTGGATGTACTAAAATAACTAAAACTGAAAAAAAAAAAATAATAATAATAATAAAGAATATATAGACAAACAAGAAAGACAGTGACACTTTAGATTAGGGAACATAGTTAACTGTTGTTAACTACTTAACTTCTAATTTGCGTCTTATTGATGGTAAGGTAGTTCGAAATAAAACCTAATTCAAAATCTTAACGAAAACTACAATCATATCTCTGTGATACTAAAATAACACTGGAAACCAGTATGTCACTGTAAATATATTGAAAATATCATGCCAAAATCTGCAACTAACTATACAGTTTTGCCTTTTTGTGTTATTATATATTGCAAAGCTACAGTTTAAGTCCATTCATAAAATTTGTTTGGTTGCAAAAAAATAATTGATGAAGATACCATAAAAAGCATCCTAGAAAGTTTTAATTTAGACAAAAACGTTTTGCAAATATTATTTGGAATATTATCTAAAAGTGGTTTAGTAATTACATACAGTAGGTTCTTGTTTACAGTAGTAAGGCCTAACATGAGGCTTTTTTTGATCAATATATCCTGATTTTAGTAATATTTCTAATTAAGGCCTATAGGGAAGGTAAAAGTCTCGTAATTAAATGAGACTCATTTTATTTATTCTTCTATTTTATACATCTACGCATCATCTAATATCGACCTCTCTGTTCCCTCTAAAACCAATTTGCTAAATATCAGCTGTGTTTTTGTTTGCTGTTTGTCCCGGTTAGAGACACAATGGAAGTAGGGGCAGTGGCAGACCTACGCAGGGTCAAAAATGCTGTGGGTGTTGCCCGAGCAGTGATGGAACACACAGAGCACACCTTTATAGTGGGCGAATCAGGTAGGAACCGTACACTCAATAACCACTTCATATCTAACCAACCAATCATGTGGCTGCAGTGGTCAAGAGGTTCAGTTGTTGTTTACAGTACATCAGATAGGGGAAGAAATGTGATCACAGATGGAGTGATATGAGTATTAAAAAGGCCTCTTCAACTATTTATTTCTCAAAATTATGTACAGACACTGAAGGCCTGGACAGATTTTATATCAGCTTGAATTTTACAGCTATTTACATTTTGTTATTCCATTTATAATGTTGTGCTGTTCTATTAATTCCATCTGCTTTCCAAATTAAAATGAATTATGGAGTACTAAAACAGCTTTCTTTCTCTGTGCGTGGCTGCTTAACATCCACATTACAATAAAAAAAGGCCGAGTCAGCCTCCTGCTGCTTCATTTTTTGCTCTTTCCTGTATCTAATGTTTATTTCAAATCAGCTCTACTATGTGATTCCGTTTGTTCAAATCTCCCTTGCTATATAAAGTTTAGTAGAAAAAACCTTTTCTGTCTTCATGCAGCCACAATCTTTGCTGAAAACATGGGCTTCATGTCTGAAGACTTGTCAACTAACAAATCAATAGCTATTTTCTCCCAGTGGTTGCAGCAGAATTGTCAACCCAACTATAGAAAGGTGAGTCCCCAAAAACCAGGAACCTCTGTGTAATCATCACTCCAGGGTTTACCTTTAAAGTTCTTAAGCACCTTCGGCAACTTCAAACATGGGTTTAGAAGATGATCTGTGGCAGATAAACCGTTTCAATATACTTCAAATGTACCAAACACCATTGAAAGATTTTTATTTATTTTTTTTAAGATATAAATAAATAAAGTTTCAGTCGGTGTTATGGTTAGAATAAGAATTCTTTGTGCATTACGAATCTTATAAAGTATACAGTGAGGAGCAGAGTCATGTTTACCTCAATTCATGCAGACATTGCTGAGAAGTTTTGGAAGGATATCAGTGTAATCACTGACAAGAAAATATGCACCATGAAAAACAATGAATAATGCATAGTGAGATTTATGAAGAATACAGTGGTTGATAATACCAACATTCTGCTATTGGCACAATCAAAGCCCTATGGAAATATCCGAAACAATGCTCTGAATACATTATTTATCCGTACTCAGATTTAAACTAAAGAAAACTTTAAGATGGATAAATCAAATCAGAGAGCAACATAAAAAATAGATAGCCTTGATATGTAATTCTAATTTGAAAGCTTTAAAGTCGTAAAAAAACAACAACTTTGTTCTGTCCCAGATCAAAGCGTAAATGAAAGCATAAGTTTATTTTGCATTTTTATTTTACAGAATGTTTTTCCAGACCCTTCCAAATCATGTGGGCCGTACAAGCCCAAAGCCAAGCTGTGGAAGCCAAAGAATCCAAACGGAAATTTTGACCCCAGTTCTCATGACACAATTGGTAACTGTTGATTGTTATTTATTGTAAGGCATCAAATATTTTTGAAATAATAATAATCTGGTCAGACAAAATGATCAGTCTTTAGTCTGTAAGTGCAAATTCATTTTTCTGAATGCAGACCTAGACTTGTCCACAGAGTACCAAACTCATTAGTTTTAATTTGCATCACAAAAATGAAGTATGATAAATGGACCGAATGCCTTGAGGACATAATTGAAAACCATTGCTTGATTCAATTCATTGATGCATATGATCTTAGCGTTACAGTCTTACCATAAATTCTCATTAGGAATGATTGCGATTGGTAAGAACGGACAGGTGGCTGCTGCAACGTCCACCAATGGAGCAACACATAAGATACCAGGGTGAGTATGAACACCTGTCAGTATAGTATGTCTCAACTGTCCTGTTGAAGCCAGAATGCATGAGTGTTTAAAACTGAAGAAAAACAGAACCTCAAGAACCTTGTTCACTGAGATTTAGCTTTACTGACAGAAATGGGTTTCCAGTCCCGTCAATAAAGCTTTAGTGAAGTATATGCATGCTGATCTGTAGCCGTGTAGGTGATTCACCAGTGGCTGGAGCTGGGGCTTATGCCGACAGCACAGCGGGGGGAGCGGCCGCCACAGGGGATGGAGACATCATGATGCGTTTCCTTCCTAGGTAATCACTAGGAAGTCTTGAGAGATTGCTTTATATGAACTGCTTTGATCAATTAAATATGTGATTCTACTGAAACTTCTAATTGAAGGCTTTTATTGATTTTATATATGTATACTATTTTTTTTTTTTCAAAGTTTTCTAGCTGTTGATTTCATGAGAAATGGAGCCCAACCCACTGTTGCCTGTAAGACGGCCATCTCCAGAATCAAGAAGTACTACCCCAATTTCTTTGGAGCAATTATATGTGCCAATACTACTGGTGGATATGGTGAGAGAATGCTAATATCTAATGTTTGTTTCTTAAAACATTTTGTGTACTTATCCTGAATATAAATAATAATAATGGAATGTATTGTCAAAACTCTTTTGTCCAAAGGTGCTGCTTGTAACAAGCGTCCTGGGTTTAGCCAGTTCCCCTTCATGGTGGTTAACCCACAGACAAACCAATCTCAGTTGCAGAAGGTGGACTGCTTTTGAATTACAAGCATTTTGTTTTATGTTTACATTTTTAAAAGTTTGTTAATTAATTATTGATTGGTATATGCCTTGTGATCAATGTTCACTTTGCACTACTTAAAAAAAAAAATAAATAAATAAATAAAAATAAAAAAAAAAATAAAAAAAAACTTTTAATATATTTTTTAAAAAACATCTGTTGTAAGATCTTTGAAAGACATTGAGGTCTGAGATGTTTATAACTTGTTTCCACTGAAACCAAAGGAAAAGATGGAAATTGGAAATGCTTTATTTCAAAATATACATTTACTTTTACCATAAAGAAGCACACACATACATTTTCATCATCTCAACATTAAAAAGCAAGCAATGCTTCAAAAGCATTTAAAGGTTGTCATGTCCAACTCATGGATTCAGCAGCCAGGCAGAATTGAGATGCCAGGGCCGTTCTCAGCCCACTGGAAGAAATTACATTGCTTGCCCATTTTAACTGGGCATGTGTAGAAGTTGCGGCCATTATTCGGTCCCAGTTTTACCACAGTCTTCATAAGAGTCCGTTTGCCATGATGACACATGGGAAAATGCAGGTCTGCCCACTGTTGCAAGAATCAGGGTTGATATGAATACAAACCACAATTCTGGTTAAGTTTCAAACTTTCAATTTATTTCTAATTGATTTAAAAAATGTAAGTTGTTTTAATTTTACATAGGTTTCAAATTCAAGTTCATGCTTTCTTACCTCAAAGAAGTTACACTGAGTCTCTCGTGGCAGGGAGCAGGTGTAGAACTGCCTGCCTTTGTTTTCTCCTTCCTTAGTGACCACCCTCAGGGTGCATGGTCGGTGATGACTTTTACAGCAGGGGGTTGTGGGTAGGGATGTGTCATTACTCTGTGTGCCCCTGCTTAGTTGTAAGATATGATTCTATTATTCAAAATCAGCTGTATTTATTTTACATTTTGCCGTCAAACTTCATTCAAAATGGTCATTCACCCAAAAATCATCATAATTTACTTTCAATAATATTTTTGCTGATCACAAACAAAGATATTCTAAAGAATGTTTTTGTTCATACAAAACAGCAGTGAAGCAGTGACTTTCATTGTATGCACAAAAAAGATTACCCCCAAAAATGTCTTAGGTGCTCTGCAGAATAAATAAAGTTAGGTTTGGGATGACCGTGCTATAAATCATACTTGCTGGTATTCTTTGGTTATAGAATATATATTAATGAATAGAAATATCAGTATTTCACTAATACATCTCGTCACAGGCGAAACTGCACTCGCTCACCTTGAGGATCCGATGTGTGGCATGCTTCCTCCAGACAGTCCATTCGTGGTTTTCATTCTCTTGTTAGGCTGAGTGTGGTCTGCTGGAGATTCTCTCTTATAGGGCTCATTGCCTTTGAATTGCATCCCACTCACGCCATTACTGGGACTCTTCCACTGCCAGTTGCTGTGCGTGCTCAGACCCCTCATTGTCTCTAGTGCATGTGCCTGGTTAATGGCGGGACTTGAAGGAGAGTAAGGTTTTGCACTGATGCTGGTTAGGACTAGAGTTGTGGTCCCAAATGCAGTCTTACGATTCATCTTTATTTCCTGCAGGGGTTTGCTAAAACTGTTGCAGGGGTAGCGGATCAGGTCTCGACTCAAAGGTGAATATTCCAGCTTTGTGGGCTCTTTAGGTACTGAGAAAAAAGAGAACGAGTTAGATATGAACTACATTTAAAAATTTTCATTTCTGCACTAATACATGTCCGAAACTTACCTTCCGGTCTAGGGCTCATACAAGCGTCACAATACTTGTTAATTGGTCGATTGATTAAAGTGCAAAGGGAACATGCCCACTCTTCCTCCTCTTGTTTTGCCACCTGATCATTGCTGCTCGTTCCTCCTTGATAAGCCCATCCAATCAGACTATTACGAGTTGGGAGTTTACTGTCAAATTGAAAAGTCAGTAACTAGATTGGATTTTTGTGTATAAATGTGTGTATGCGAATTAGTAGCTACAAGAGGAGGTGCAGCTCACCTAATGTTCACTTCACTTGGATCACCTGTTTGACAGTGCTGACAGTAGTATGTCATCCTACCGTTGTCTCCCAGTCGACAGACAGTGACAGTTCCACTGCACTGGCCACAGTTTGGACGTTTATACACCTTGTAATGCTTGTAAAGTGGGGATCCATTCTTTCTACACTGATTTGAAAAGTAAAAATTTAATTCAGATCTGACAGAAAAAGTAAAATTACAAATTTATTGTCTAGAAAAATGCAAGTATAAAATACCTTATAAAATAGGAGTGTGAAATCTCGTGTCATATTCACAAGATGGTGAACTTGTTCGCTTGTCAACTGTCTGACCTTTAAAAGCACAGAAGAATTAATTGAAAAACTACACTCTAAAAATATTTTAAACAAGGTGTAAAACATCCATTCAACTGTACCATGCGACAGAGATATTGACTTTGTGTTGGTACTGAACAAAGCAAATTGTACCTTGACAGCCGGGTTAAGGCCACTGTCAAAGAGCGCTTCGTTTTTAATTATGTTTCCTACACCAGGTAAGACGGCCTGATCCAACAGAGCATCACAGAGCATTCTCTCACTCTCTCTCTTTACAGCTTCCACCGCCTGAGAGAAACTAAACTTGGGTGAACAGATATCGAGAGCCTCCATGGCTCTTACTCTCTGCACACAGTCCTCTGAGAGTCTAGGGGAAGTAAACAGAATTATTATTCCCTGAGGAGTCAGAATCTTTGAAGGCTCAGTGTAAAAATGTAAAGAGTCAGGCTGTCTGGATCACGCTGAGTTATGATAGTCTGGAATTTAATCCGGCATAGCAAACTTTTCTGCGACAGGGAAGTTGCCTACTTAAGACCTGCACTTGATGAGCTGACCTCTCAGATGTACATTAGGATAAAGTGCTTGACTCGGAAGGACTTTCGATGAAGATGCTATCTAATCCGGGATTAAATGTAATACTTATCCTAGAATACTTAGGAATGAAATGGAAGTTATATATAATTATTATCCGAGCTATTAGAAGGAAGTGTTACCTGATTTCTACAGTTGTGTCAAAGAAACACACAGCATCATTGGTAAATTGAATAACCAACACTGGGGGTTTTCCTTTCAAGTCCTTCTCCAGGGGATTTATCCTCAAGGAACCATTCATGCCGAAGTGCAATCTAAATCAAAACACATTTAAAGTACAGTTAAAATGATTTCACTCTTTTTATACCAATGAATTTTGTATGACCTTTTCAGTCATTTGTGATTACTGGATAAGGATTTTCAGCGATATCTGTGCTAGATTTTCATTTGTATGTCAAGTACCAATCATTTATAGACTTAAACACCACTTTGAGCCCACCACTTTGAAAATATATTAGCTAGTAACATTTGCCACTTTATCAATCACACAGACTAATCGTGCTGGCTTGCTAGAGAGCAAACTCTACTCCAGCACTCACAATGAACAATATCTGGCCCATTAAATATTTTAAAGCACGACATAGCTGAAATATTCCATATATTACACACACACACACACACACACACACACTGCTGTTCAAAAGTTTGGGATCAGAAAGATTTTGAATGTTTTTTAATTGAGTCTCTTGTGCTCATCAAGGCTGTATTTATTTGATCAAAATACAGAAAAAACTAATATTGTGAGAGACTTCAATTTCTAATATTGGTTTTCTGTTTTAATATACTTTAAAATATAATTGACTGCTGTGATCAAAGCTGAATTTTCAGCATCATTACTCCAGTCTTCAGTGTCACATGATCCTTCAGAAATCATT